TTGCAATATTTGCCCACTCTTCTTTGCAGAACTGCTCAAGGTCAGTTAAATTTGATGGTGAGCGTTTGTGGACTGCAGTCTTCAAGTCATTCCTCAACGGGGTTTAAATCTGGGCTCTGACTAGGCCGTGCAAGGACATTCACCTTTTTCTCCTTCAACCCGTGTGCTCAGTTTTGCTGTGCGCTTTGGGTCATTGTCATGTTGGAAGGTAAACCTTCTTCCCATTGACAACTTTCTGGCAGAGGATAGCAGATTTTCCCCATTTTGCCCCATCCATATTTCCTTCTATCCTGACTAGTGCTTCAGTCCCTGCTGCAGAGAAACACCCCATAACAGGATATTACCACCTCCATGCTTTACTGTAGGAATGCTGTTATTTGGATGGTGAGCTGCATTGGATTCCTACCAGACATATCATTTGGTGTTGAGGCCAAATTAGTCTCATCTGCCTCAGAATCTTCAAGGTGTGTTTTGGCAAAGCTCAGTCGTGACTGCATGTGGCCTTTCTTGTGGAGTGGCTTTTTTCTTGCAACCCTTCCATACAAGCCACATCTGTGGAGAATTTGTTGTCACATGCACACAATGAACACTCTTTGTCATAAATTCCTGCAACTGCTTCAGAGTTGCTGTAGGCCTCTTGGTCGCTTCTCTGACCAGTTTCCTCCTGGCTCTTTTATCCAGTTTGGAGCAACGTCCTGATCCAGAGAGGGTCTGTGTTGTAGCAAATACCTTCCACTTCTTAATAATAGACTTCACTATGTTTCTAGGGATCGATAAAGCCTTTGGAATTTTTTTTGTATTCATCTCCTGACTTGTGCCTGTCCACAACTTTAGAAACCTGATTGAGTTTACTAGTCAGGCCCTATCCACATGGAGACACGCTTAGCTGTATATGCATACATTTGGTATCGTATAGGCGTTTCGTCCAAATGGATCCGGCGTTTTGGGAGAGTGAAACCGGTATTTTTTGAAACCGGGTCCCAGAGTGGATAAATCTGAAAACGCCGCCCTTACGTTTTCGTGTGGACAGCGAATCTGTATATTTTCTGAAACGATGACGTCATCAGCCCACGTCTCGTCCCAGTCAGACACCGCTACGCCACGTAACAGCAACAAAAACATGAACAAACACTGAACGATTGTCTTTTTATTAACTAACATTAACACAGATTAATAAACGTATTGTTCCAAGTTCGTTTGTATACCGCGCACAAGGTTTATGCGCATAGTCTAAGTCTTTTTCTCTGTTTTTAGTGTATCTCTGTGGCAGAATTACAGCACCACATACTGGTCTGGCATGCATACTACATCTTTTTTAAAGGGTGGTGATTCTTTTCTATACCCACTGTACATATACGAATAATGATTATTTTAATGGCTTTTTTATGCGTTATTAATAGGTAAATGGGGGTTACACATCCATCATATACATTTCCAAAGTTGAAGATCCTTGATCTAGATTAAAATGTATCCAAGTAGCAGAAAATAAGTGGTTGATGAAGGAGGTAAAAACCACCATGAATGATTTCTTTAGTGTGAATACAGCCAGCCATATGATTTGCTTGTGAGAATCGGCGGAGCGGGGCGAACGCTAGCCCTGGGGCACGAGTGATGAGTTTTTCAGATTCAAGGAGACGCTTTGATAACATTCTCTTCATGACCATCACAAAACAACGGCTGTTTTTGTTCCTGCTGAATGGAAAGCATTCGGCCTGCATTATTCACAGCAGATCCTGGTCCCGTGCACTCGCCGAAACGCCGTGCTTGCATATTGCACTATGAAATTTTTATCACTTGAGGAGGAGAGATGAGAGACGTTTAAATTTTTCATTGTCTGCTTAAACTATATTATTGTTGCGTGACAACAGAGAGGGAAAAAGCCGTCTAGATTTACAGCTGCAAAAGACGAGCGAGACGTCTGCAAGCTCACGTGACATCCCTGTTGCAGAAACACTTCCTGTGTGTCAGAGGCATTGAAACAGTAAAACAAACACAAAATAAAGAGTTTCCAATTAACTAAATGGCCACAATGAGTGTGTTTATATGTACAAAAAACCTCTATTATAAGTCTCAAAAATGCAAGAAAAAAAGACTGGAATTTTGAAATTCTCATGAAATTGTCTTATGTTTTATTCAATAACCATACTTGTTATTTTTGACATGAACTGTTGTCAGTTTATTAAGCTGAATCAGTGCATGTAAACACTCAATGTTATCTGAATTAAATGTGAAAATGAAAAAATGAAGCAAAAAAGAGAGAAGTAAAAAACAAGTAAACGGGAACATATTCTCCTCCTTTAAAGGCAGCCCTTCCCTGCCTAACTGGAGGCATGTTACTAACGCCTGTTTAACTCCTGTTCTAGGTCACCATGAGATAAACACACTTCATTCAGCTTGGCCAAACCTCAACAATTAAGCAGCAGTGGTGGCCCATTCATGAGCTGCCCTCCCTGGCCGAGGCCCTCTGATTAATTAGCACACGGGGCAGTGGCTTCCAAAAGAGCACAGACAGAAGAAGAGCTCCGGGGCGGGGACAGCGGGAGGGAGCCGGTTGAGCGGGGGAGACGTACCTCTGACTGCCGGCCAAGAAAGCCCTACAGAGGGAACACATTCCAGTAAAGTGTCTCCCTGCTGTCCAACTCTAGACTGCATTATTATTTTATTTAATATCCTGTATTAAACCATCATCTACAGCCAGCAGGATGAGTTCGACTGTAATGTTTAAACTATGAAAATAACTGTCAGTGTACAATTTTGGCGTGTTTAAGACACAACGTCACTGTCTTTGCCTGGGAGCTATAGCGAATGACACTAATGACACTTAACGTGGTGATATTTATGACAACTATTGACTGTAATATGAAAATAATTATTTGTTTATCAGTATCGGACACATTTTTTAAATAGCAGTTGTGTTTAAGACACAACGTCACCATTTCTTCCTGGGAGCTACAGTGAAGGTTAAAACTAGGGCTGCACGATATATCGAAATTATCGAAATATCGCAAATGTAAATATCGCAATATGCATATCGCAATGGCGTGCGATATCATTATCATTTTAATAATAGGCTACTTAAATCAAAACATTGCAAAAGGTCAAAGTTTTAGTTCGACGCATATAGCAGAGAATTGCTTGACGTTAAAAATAGTTATTAAGTGCAATAAGTTGCAGAAAACAACTCTTTGCCATCTCGTCATTCTGTCTGACTCACACCTGAAGAGCACAGAGAGACGCGTTTCAGACCGAGTTGATTCATCTTTCGCATCTCCTCCTTATGTTTGAACAGACACATACACACAGAATTATGTCAATAGTACCCGTCTCGACGATCATTCTCGTAAACGCAGTCGGTTATGTTTTAAAGCAAAGTTACAATGATATTAAAGTAGTGTCATTAATTTTTTTGCTTGTATGTTCAAATTGATGTTAAATTACATTTTCATCACTTTTTATTTCACTACTTTTTAAGTAATGCTAAAACACTGCTGGTCACTTTCAGAAGTTATAGTGATTCTTTATTTTCCAAGAAAGAATGTGAAACAAATAGGTTATATAATATTCATTTTTAAATATTTAAAAATATCATTTAAATTGATCTTACACACTTTAAGCAATATCATATCGCATATCGAATATCGCATTTTTTAACAAGGTATCGCATATCGCATTTTTCTTCAATATCGCACAGCCCTAGTTAAAACCAATGATACTTGAACGTGATATTTATGAAATCTTTTGACAAGCTCAAATTTGTGCATTTATAAATTTAACAAGGACGAACTAGACTGGTTTAATCTAGTTCCTCCTCCTTTAATTTATAATAATAAATAAATCTCACATGGGACAAACAATTCACCCCAGGGTTATTATAAAATAAAAATAAAGTAAAAATAAATAAAATAAATATTCATTTAAAAAGTCAATTTAAAAGATCTCATACCTGAAGCAAAATAAAGAAAAGTTAACTAAACTGTTTTATATTTAATATATAAATAATTCAACATTTTTGTACGTGAGCATCTGATGGCACACAAGGTTATAGCTTAATTAATTTTTTTTTAATTGTATATAAACTATACAAAAAACAAACAGAAATATGTCCATAGAATAAAAACTAAACTATTGCTGAAACAAAAAGCTGAAATGCAAAAAAAAAAAAGAAAATATTAAAAAAATAATTACTTTGATCACAAAGCTAAACATAATAATGAACAATATAAATAATAATAATGCAAAACAATAATAACCTTGGTTCGCCACTGCTCTCAGAAAAAACAAGCCCCCTACTGGAGATACAGCGTGACAAACCCAACCAAGATAGCGAATGAGAGACTGAGTGCTTTCTAATGTAAAGCCTGGCAGCTTCTCCCTCATGACAGGCCTTATGTTCTCCCTCGTCTCGCTACCTTTCCCCAAACGTCGGTCCTCTGTTCCCACACGTCTTCATCTTCCCGAAATAACCCCCATTTACTCACATAACAGCTTCCAGAACATTTTCGCATCGGTACAGAGCAGTCCCAAAAGACGCACTTAACCGCCCAAACTCTCTCTCTCTCACCTCCTCTATCCTCCTCCTGATCTACCGCTCTTCCTCAGAGGCTGACGGCAGGCTCAAAGCTCCCGGGGACTGTCAGACTATTTCATTATTCAAACAATGCTGGAAAGTGGAGCCAATGATCACTTTAGTGGTGCTGATTTGTCATGGTGCCTAGACAAGGGAGGGAGACTTCACAGCACACAGGAAAATTCAACAACTTTAGCTTGCTCTGCTTCTCGCAGGGAATTACCATTCAAAACTCCATTAGAACAGAGCAAGAAGTTGGATGCGTAGCATAGTGGTTAACATACATGCGCTGACACACTGAGCCTTAAAGTTGGAATCATAACTTAGCTGTTAGCACACATTTCAACAGTTAGAGCTGCATAAAGTTTAAGTGATAGACAAGCACCAAGGTGAACTCTGCGATGGTTAGTGATAGGCCAAAGTGCAGTAAACTGTAAAACTATGTGCGCTACAAACCAGTCTGTTTATAATTACGGCAATAAAATAATATGGTAACAAATACCAGTTTGCAATATCAAGCAGCATAACAAAACATACTGGGATAGTATGGGCCCTGTAGGATCCATCGGTAGTATCCGTCATGGCCCAGGAAATGAAGGACGCATTTCAAGGCCGCATTTGAAGGAAACTTGGAAATGGGACAGCCCTTGGCGTGCCACTGTGATGCATTCTTCGAGTCTTCGAATGCAGCCTTTGAAGGATGCAGCCTCTGAATTGGGACACAGGTACTGTGTCTTCAAACTTGCAGAAAATGCTAATTCAATTTTGGCTCATCACTCCCTCATTCCAATCCTTTCCAGGCCTACCTCTACAATACCTATCAATACAGTAGCAAAAAAGCCAGAACATATAGAAAACAGATGGAATATGAGGCTATAAACTTCAACAGTCTTCATGTAAGTCAAACAGAAACAAAGCTAATAAGCAAAATGACTATACTCTATCATTGCTTTGTAACTCAAAAGGGGGCTGACAGGTAAAGAACAGCATAAGAACAAAGAGAATGAGCAGAACTGATATGTGAACGGCAGTAATGAGTCATTTTCAAGCAGTGCTTCACAATGTGGTAATCTGAGAAAACAGAGTCCTCCTGGGAGACGTCTACTACTATGACATCACGTATGTCCAAACATGGCCATCAACAAGTTAAATCACTTGCATTACACCCAAACAAGTAGAGACAGAGAAGTGCTGTGGAGCAGGGCAACACGGCATATGGCTGAAGATATCTTAGCTCTGGGGGTTCTTAAATGTCCCAAGTTGTTTTTGTAACTAGGCCAACACTAAATCCGACCCTGCAGATTTACGTAGAAATGCAGCATTCGATGTTCTTCGTATCCCTCAGTTCTTGATTGTTTGATTATTAAATGTTTTTACAACTCTTTTTTGACAGAACAAAAGAGAAAAGACAAATAAATTATATGGGGGCAGAGAGAGTTTCTTGCATGAGCACCAAGAGGCAACCACTGCTCCAAAGCTCCAACACACAAAACGGTTCTTCAATGTATCTCAAGGGTCTGTTTAAGTGTACAGGGGGCTCTTGGCTTGTACAGTAAACCTGGGGTGGGTTTTTCCCCCAGGCTTTTCAGAGCAAAAAGAGGAAGAGATGTCACTTACTGAATTCGAGGGCATTGGTACATTGGTTTCAATGTAAGTCTCCGTCTTGGGCTCCACAGCAAGCTCCGCCTCCAAGATCTTCTCCACAGGCATGTCTTCGTTCACACTGCTGGTCGACTCCACCTCGTTCTCGTTGCGGTCCTTGGCTCGCTGGCGCTCCTCCTGGACGGCTGTATGTAACAACACTAGTCACGGTCACTACAGTTGGTCAATCAAGAAGTCAACACAAATACACACTGATATCAAGCTGATGCTAACAAACTACACCACAGGTCTTCATACTTTTTGATCCTGAAAAATAATGGACTCTCAAACATGATTATCCCCCTGCAAATATAATGTATTTTCAAGTATAAAAACCTATTATAAAAACCTGAGAGAAAGCAGGAAATTATGGAAAAATAAACAATTGGCTTTAGGGCTGCAACAACTAATCGATAAAATAGATAATAATCAATTATGAAAAAAATTGACAATGAATGTCATTATCGACTAGTCGCGTCTGCCCACCGCGCACTGAAAACTTCTGCCAGTCACGTCAAACTACAGCAGTGAATAATGCATTTCTATGGATGAAATGCATCTAAAAAATAGCAGATGAAACAGAGTGAGCTGCTACGGGAAAGATGTGTGATCCAAGCTGTCTGAAACATGAGAATGCTTTACTTTAAGTTTCAAGCTAATGGATTAGCATAATGTTTAAAGTGTTAGTTCACCCAAAAATGAAAATTCTGTCATTAATTACTCACACTTGTGTTGTTCGAAACCCGTAAGACCTTCGTTCATCTTCGGAACACAATTTTTAGATATTTTTGATGAAATCTGAGGGCTCTCTGACCCTCCCATAGACAGCAAGGTAACTACCACGTTTAAGGTCATGATACTGTCGTGAACACGCGTCCAAAGTGACGCAGTAGAGACGAAAATGTGGAATAAAGCCATTATTTTTGTTTTCTTTGCACAAAAAATAATTCTCGTAGCTTCTTAACTTTATGGTTGAACCACTGATGTCACACGGACTACTTTGTCAATCATCTTGGTACTTTTCTGGACCTTGAATGTGGTAGTTACCTTGCTGTCTATGGGAGGGTCAGAGAGCCCTCAGATTTCATCAAAAATATCTTAAATTGTGTTCCGAAGATGAACGAAGGTCTTACGGGTTTGGAACAACACGAGGGTGAGTAATTAATGACAGAATTTTCATTTTTGGGTGAACTAACCCTTTAACAGATCAGAAATTTGATCAGCTCAGAGAAACAGGAAGTGGTTAGTGTTTAATAGTCACTCAATCTCACTGTGGCCAGAGCTGTATTAACCACAATCTAAGCCCCTGTGGTTAGAGTGCGTATGTGCCGAGCACAGTTCATCCAAAAGTCTTCAAACCCAGTTCCTATTCACAGCACATTAAAACACACAAACACTAAACGTTCTCCTTTCCCTAACTCTTCACTATTTTCCACAACAGCGAATCACAGTGATATCGCGGTGGTGGAGGGGTTCCGAAACGGGGGGGATTCTGCTTTACGGAAAGTGCTGTCTGGAGGTCAGCCCAAGGGTAAAATACTTTGCCAGGAGTCAGAGAAAGGTGAGAGGGGCTGAAATCACGTTAGCTTTATTTCCCCTGGAGAGAAGGAGAGCATAAATTCATTTAATCCTGTTTTTCTGCAGATTCGCTCAGCTCTTTTTGGAACAAGCGTGGCCCAGCTCTCCTGTGCCTCGGGGTACAGTGCGAGCTTATGGGATACAGAAACAGGCGAACGCAAGCAAATGATCATATCGTTGAAAGAAGCCGTGATGATATAAATAAGGGAGACGAAAGGTTGCACTAAGGTCAGACAGTGGGTGTGAGAACGAGACGTCATGTACGTATGATCGCAGTACTCTCTTCGTCTACAGGGGGAGGATTTATTCTCTCACATGAAACAAGAGCTATGCAATCTATAGCCACAATTAATAATTTATAAGGCCAAACAAGTCTGACTGCTTGCAAAGACACTGACCTTAGTTCAGCTTAGTGTTGTTTTAAACATCTTTATAAATGTTTAAGCTTGGGGACATATCATGAATGAACTGTATTGTGTATGAAAAGAATTTGAAACTGATCATAAGTTGATACATATATTAAGGAATCTGATGGAAAATAAATTTAAACAAAAAACTATACACGCACAAATATACAAGCACCCGTATATATACTTTTTATATATAATGTTACATAAGCAAGGGATAATAAAGGGATTTTAAATGCACGACGTGGAGGCAAAGAACCACCCGATGCGAAGTGCATTTAAAATCCTTTAATGCACGGCAAGCCGTTGATTATCCCGCTTATTCCATGGTCATTTGCCAAGTTATAGAAAAGTTAAAACTAGTATTACGCTTTGCAGCGCAGTATTTGACCGAATGGGTAAAAAATTCAGTTACGTCAAAAAGTCAGTTACGGCTCATTAGCTCTAGCATTCTGCCCGCTTCAAATCAGACACAGAGATGAAATAGTGCAGTTAGATCACATTTATTTGAATGAATTATAGCACTTATTTGAATTAATTATCGATCGTTTGATCGAGAGAGAGAAAGATGACAGTTGTGTTTACCTGCGTCTGTGCGTCTCTCTCTCTACAAACATTGAAGTTGTGAGTTTAGTTACTTAAACAGAGATTTTACCTCCTCGTTGCTGAGGAATATAATGCAGTGATCCAGTATCTAAGCGGTTTTATTAATTAAAGTTGCGGGGCAGCATTGATAAGTTTATGTTGGCCTACTCCTGAACGTTTCTGTTTGCGCAGCGGGATCTCCGATCTCTCTCTCTCTGTGTGAGTGATGTGTGTGCGTTTGTGTGTGTCAATTAAAGCAGCGCATTAATATAGAACAGTGATTAAACTGACTTGGAACTACCTGTGCATTAAACGGTTTTAAAGCATACATGCCAGCCAATCAGAATCAAGAATTCCAACAGACCATGGAATAAAAAGAATTTGAAACAGATCCTTATAATTATTATTATTTATATAATTACTGTACTTTTTTTTATTTTGCCTTTGTCATCCATGACATATCTGGCAACAAATAATTATTATATATATTTTTTATTAAATTATTACTAAAGTAATAGCTAATAGTCAATGTGTCTGAATGTGGAATTGTACATAGCAGAGGTTTTAGTGGTTTTGGACACACTAAGCTAAAAAGACAAACAAAAAGCACACGTAAACAACAATCATGTGCGTATGTATGTCTGTATGTGAGCAGGTATACAATGCAAGCTACAAAAGAGTTCATCGGTTCAAACTTAAAAACAGAAAACACGTCTCCGCTCTAATATCTCATAAATCTAAAATTATTCTGTATTGACTGAGGGGCAAAATATAGTCTCTCAGATCAATATTCCAACTGCTGTGTGCTAAAATCTTCTATTAGCATGCTTAATCACTTTCACGTCTCCTTTTTTTGGGGACAAGCGCACAAAAAGTGCTAATGCCCCCTTTTCTTCAGCGTGATAACCCACCCCTCACCTCTTCCTCTCTTTCATCTCACTCTGCCTCAGGTGATGATTTGGGAGAAAAGATGGTCTTCTATATTTAGCGACAAAAAGTATATCTGAAAAAAAAAAAACATACCACCTTGCATCGACGAACCATTTCCTGTTTTCTCTCAGTATCTCCTGAGTACACTACCTGGAATCTTGAGTACAGCCATCATGTGCAGAATGAACTCCCTGACCAATGTCTTACCGTGAGCAGATTGGCAGACTGAACGTCTAGTGAACGCTAATTAAGCACTGACCAGCAGTCTGACTATTTAAGGGCTGATTGAGAGTCACACAGAGGTGAGATCGTTTCTAATAGCAAATGCACAAAACATCTCACCCCATTGTGGAAAGCTCAGGCCAGTCAAAAATGGATGCTAAATGGATGCTAAATTTACATAGCATTGGAAGTCACTGATTTTAATGAGAGCTGGTGGAGTGATTAGTGCTATAAAATTTCAGAGGGAAAAAGAAAAATCTTCTATCCTCAACTTTATGTGCTGTACCTTCTCTCTTCATTCCCATGGCCAAACACTTCTGATAGCGGCAGTACTGGCAGCGGTTGCGCTGGCGTTTGTCGATAATACAGTCCTTGCTGTCTCGACAAGTGTAAGTCAGGTCCTTACGCACAGTCCTCTTGAAGAAACCCTTGCACCCCTCGCAGCTGTACACACCGTAGTGTTTACCTGTTGGAAAAAAATGCAAACATAGAAGCCTAAGGAGTTATGTTCAGGTCTACAATGGTAATAATTCATGGATCAGTGCTTGTGGCATTTGAATCTACAACCTTTCAGCTGAACTGTGTTAAAATACCTTCTTCTATCCCAGCTTAATATTGCAAGATCTTCTGAAGCAAATCTTCTTGTAGTGTAAACACTGTGTCTCTGTGCTGTTTACAAAACACTGCACTGTTTCCCTGCTGAAAAATAAACCTGTTTAAACCAGCCTAAGCTGGTCTTAGCTAATTTCCCAGTCTGACTGAGCTTGTTTAGCTAGCCGACCAGTTAAAAGGTGCCCAAAATCCCTCTAAAACCACCCAAAAGAGCATCTTAACTGGACTAGAAAATCAGACCAGAAAACCAGCTTAGACTGTTTTTAAGCTCTTATTTTCGTCCCAACCAGCCCTGCATTGTAACATTAGCACAACAGTTTGCATTTGGGGCTGGATTTTGTGTTTGCACATATACACTAGCCAAAGCTATTTTAAGCCTGATTTAGCTTGCTAAAAAAGTGCCCAAAACCCTTCTAAAACCACTCAAATGATAATTTTGACCAGGCTAAAAGACCAGCTAAGACCAGAAAACCAGCATAGACTGATATTTGAGCTGTTTTTCATTCCAACCAGCCCTGCAGTGCAACACTGGCCTAATAGAGACCGTTTGGAGCTGAACTGTCTGTTTGCACGTATAAACCAGCCTAAGCTGGTCTTAGCCAGTTTTTCAGCAGGTCTCCCAGAATGATTTGGCTTGTTTAGCTGGGCAACCACCTGAGAAGTGCCCAAAACCCCCTATAAAAGACCTGACTGGGCTAGAAGACTGACCAGCCTTGAGCAAGCAAAAGTTGCAAAATGTTGTACATTTGGGGCTGGACTACTGGTGTACATATCACAATGTGTTTTGGTACCTGAGGAGCGGTCGCCGCAGATGGCACAGATGTGTTTGGAGAGGGAGAGGGGGGTGCCCAAGGGCTGGACTGGCACCTTCATCACACCGTTGATGCCCAGGGGCGGCTTGATATCTTCTGAGCTGCTGACAGAGTTCATGGGCGAGTTCAGCTGCAAAACATAAGCAAACACACATCATTTAGACACGTCAACATATCGGCTCTAAGGGCCTGGGTGAAAGAAAGCTGAGTTCCAGAAGGCCCTGACTTTTCTGTCAATTTCTTCAGAATGGGGCCAGAGACTCACCCAACAGGCCAGCGTTGAGATTTCAGATTGATTTTGTGCCGCGAGACCGAGGTTCTCTCATTTGATTATGCACTCTCTCCTACTTCCTCTGAATGTGAGTACAAGAAACGGATGCTGAGTGTGTGTCCCTAGCCTAATTTTTTTAATATCCAGCAGCAGTGCACATGTACTATGCTAGAATGACGGCAATAAAATATTTAGTTGGACAGTGGAATAAAGACGTGGTTCTGTTTCTCTCTCTCTCTCCAAGCTAAAATGTGTCTGGCTGCCCTCATCCAGACGTTCTTTTGCTCTCAAGTGTATTTTGAATGAGAAACATTAAAACTTACATTTCTGTGGAAATGACAGCTAAAAAAAATCGAAAATCATCACAAATGTTTACTAATCAATGTGTTTGTGCACATTTTACTGTAGCAAGAAGCAATCACAATAACAGGCACATTATTCATTTCACTCTACACGTGTTCATATTCAATTACACACTGTAATTATATCAGCGGTTTTGAGCAAATGAAAGTTGCTGATGGGTAGACACTGTGCCTAAGGGTCCAACAGGCTGTTCTAAAAAAAAAAAAAAAAAAAACTAACAGACGCTATCCTTCCTTTGGGGAGTGAGAAAGTCAGTGAAAAGTCTTGTGACAAGAAGCATGGTCACTCTGCATTGGTAACAGTGATGTTTGCATACATTTGACTTTTTTTCTCTTTTATTTATATTATAGTAGATGGTTTACCAGCAACAGATTTGTTGGAAGGCTCTTAAAAGCATGACACAGACTTGGTAAAGTCCTTGGGACTGGCGTTCTTGGCCAGGAGACAGAAACACTCATGTGACAGCCTCCAAAGTCTTGTTCTCATGCTTTAGCCAGAACACAGTTAGCAGTCAAACTAGCGAGAGGAGCCTGATAAAGACCCCATTTAGACCAAAAGGAGCATCGTCACTTCCCACTTCACACCACGGCTATGTGTTGACGTGAGTTCAAGAGACATGCAGACTTGCTAGACTTCTGTGGAGTGCCATGTAGCCAGAGGACACTGGACACAGACAGACCACTGTAACCCCACTGAACTGCCACCACAATGGAATTTCCATCACCTAAAAACATATATTGTGTTTAAGAGCTTTCTGCAATGGAAATTACATTTTCAACGTCTCTTAAATAACATGGAAGACTCCTTTGTCTTACTAATGCCAATTTCTCAGCTAGTAATTTGCTTATCTTAAATACACACAAATAATGTATTTTTTTTCCCAAATACACATGAAGTTTCAAATTTCATCTTAAGCTTTCTCCTAGGAAAAAGTATGATAATCTTTAAAGTAAACTTTATTCATTTTATTAGTTTATTAGTAAAGTTCTAATTTAGTTTATTACTGCCCAACTGAGGGGTTTGTGTCAAATTTTTACACACACACACACACACACACACACACACACACACACGCACACGCGCACACAAAATACAGAAATAGTTAATGATTTCACTTTTGTTTAGGTTATCATATCACATTAAAAAATTATGATTGACTTTCATGTTTTAAGGTAAAAATATATTAAAATCAACATTAAAGACTTTTTAAAAATACGAGAATTAATGATGAAGTTGGCATGATAAAGTTAGTTTTTTTTAATTATTATTATTAGGGGTGGGAATCGTTAGTTACCTAACGATCCGATCCGATTCTGAGAGTCACGATCTGATTCCAGAACGATTCTTGATCTACTTTTCCCCCCCTTATTAATTAATTAGTTTACCCGACTTGAGAATCTTAAAATCCTTACATTTACATATCCTTACATAAGTAATTAAGTACTTTTTAAAATAATTACAAATTGAAAAAAAATAATTAAAACAGTTGTATGTTAAGAATTTATAACTTAGAAATATAACTTCAAAACATACAAGCAAGTAGCAAATAATAAAGAGGAACATAGAAACATATTACAAACAACAAAGAGTGCTTTCAGTATTTAAGAGTATCTGAACGTTTTCCATTCAAGAACTGTGAGTGATTTTTCTTCTTCTTAAGTGTTGTTTTTTACTATGACATCATATAGACAGCAGGAGATCTATTAAACTGCATTCACGCACGGATCTCTTTTGAAATATAAGTAGTAATGTGGTTTGTCCTGTCCATTTAATCCCTTAAGACACAACTGGCTGTGTTTACATTAATTTTGCGTCATAAAACCATTTTGAGACCACTTACACGGAGTCGCGCATAGCCGCATGCGCGAGCAGTCTTCAAAAGCGCGCTACAGCATTTGAAATTGAAAGCAGCCTTCTGTTAGTGAGGTTCATATTTTAAATATATAAGTCCACTGCATTCCAAACCACATAAATGATGACTTCCTAGAGCATTTATAAGGAACTTCAAGTGTAACATCAAACAAAGCGCGTCTCTCACAGCGAATCCTGTGCAATGAAGCCCGCGAATGTCCTTGTAATTCGCTTCAACCTTTCCGAACTTTATGAAAGATTACTTTACGGAAGGTTCAAGTGGTGTATGTGTGTGAGGAATTGGAAGCAAGCAGAATACGGGTGTTTCTAAAGCAAACTCAGCGTCATCACGCATCTGGTTAAAAACTAAGCTCAGAATCGATCCAGAATCGGTTGAGAGAGAACCGCGATGCATCGATGGATCGATTTTTTCTCCCACCCCTAATTATTATTACTGGGCCTTTTTATACCTTCATTTAGACAGGATAGTAGAGAGCAGACAGGAAAGCATTGGGTGAAGGAAGGGGAGCAGGACCAGCAAAGGAATTCGAGATGGGAATTAAACTTGGGTTGCGTGAATGCAGGTGCGCTGTATGTCGGCACACTAACCACGAGGTTATTGGCGCCGACAATAAAGTTAGTTTTAATGTGACCTTCATATAATTAAAAATTGGTTGGTAAGTTGGTATTTTAACACCATGCCAGCTTCCAAGTTGAAAAAGTATAAACAAGCAATTTAAAATGAATTCAGGTTTGACTGTTAAAAATGTATTCAAAAGTTTGCTGAGTAATATAATTTCCTAAGAGATCTTAAGCACAATTTAATAAGTAAGGGACAATGTACATCCAGTCGGTTGTTATAGTAGAATAACCCCCTACAGGATGACCAGGGCCCCGAGGTGAAGCAGAAAGATTTTAAGATGAAACGGTTTTAAAATCTTACCAGTTTGTTAGTTATCTTATAATCCATCCATCTGTTCCTTAGCAAGTGTGTAGTGCTGACTTCAGTTACCCGGATGAGCCTGTGTTATCAGCTTTTATCGGTTTTTATCGAGGAATAACATAACTTGGAATGTCGCGATCTGTTCCAATCAGAATCAAGTATTCCACAGAGCAGTGTAATAATATACATTTAAAGGATACTGGACTCTGGCATCAACAGCATATCAGTGGATATTCTTTTGATATTAAGAATTTGTGTGTGATTCTGGAGTGTCCTTTTCAGCATTGTGTAAATATGATTTGATCCCACTGATTACTGAAAATAAAGATGTGACTTTTATCCACATTAGGGTATTTCATACAGTTTGTGGTTCGTACACTGATCCCATTCATTTTGCCTTTTGTTGATGACATAAGATACTATGGTAGTTTTCATATCAAATCAAAATCTAATAAGTTTTTCAGTCAATTTTAAAGTGTTCGGAGTTATCTACGTAGAAATAGAAGTGTCCAGATTTAAGAAAGACTTAACATAGTTAATCACCCTTATCCATGTACATGATTGCATCATCTTAAGAACATGTGCGTGTGTTCACACATGCCTGCACACACCCCTTAAACTCATGCAAGGACACACACAGTAATGCCACGGCCCATGTCATTACACAGATGACCACAACATGCCCTGAATAAAAAGACTGACTGCTGAAACAAACAGATCAACTGCTCAAAAATGACAATCCAAAGAAACAAAAACACTCAAAGCTTATGAATCTTTGTCAAGAACATGATTAACACTTCTGAAAACTGCTCCTCTTTCATTCAGTATAATGATTAATTCCATCCGTCAAAAAACTAACAGGCAAAACGCTGCGGACAAAAGCCCCTGTACTTCCACTCTGCTTGATTTATGATGTCAGAAATGGTCATTGTCCTTGAAAAATATTGAAGGCAGTCAAGGCTGCAGGGGCCTTAACAGTGCAGCATGTTCTGATGGAGAGAGGTGTTAATGATGAGTGAGCAAAGAGAAAGCATGGGCGGCAGTAAATTACACATGCCATACTTTATTCTGAGGCTGTCAGTTTATGAGAAATAAAACGCCTTTTGTTATGAATTTCTGCCTGCGTGTCTCCGATGAGAACCTTACACATGCTCATGTTACCCACATACAAATACTCATGGGGAGAATTCACTAAGAATGAATAGAGCCCGCTGATAGAGCCATTTATTTGTACCCGCTGTCTGCATTAAGGGCCCGATTCACTAAAGGAATTATGCAAATCAGGTAACGGTGCAAATGTGCCCATAAAATCTTTGCAAAAGTAAAGCTGCATGGCACGATTCCCCATTTGTAGGTTCAGGTTTTAGAACAAACAAATATACTAGTGTACTTTACTTGGACTATACAGTATCACGCCACATTTCAAGAAAAAAATAAGACAAATGTTTCTTAAAATAACTGAAATAATTAACATGAAATAAAATGAAATAATCTAATAAAACAAAACAAAACAAAACAAATAAAATAAAATAAGAAAGTAGACAGTAGAGCATGGAGTTAGCAATGTCAAAGTCATGGGTTCGATACTCAGGGAATGCATGAACTGATAAAATGTTTATTAAAAATAACTAGTAAATAGTTAATATAGTAACTATTCATAACTAGTATATAAATAGAGTTGAGCATTTAGAGTTTTGCATAG